GTTGAAGCTTTTGTGCTAAACTGAATACAGCGCCAGCTAATTTTTGACTCTCACCATACCATTTATCAGTTAGCAATGACACATCCAAGTACAAAAAGTTCATACCTGCTTCACGGGCAGTTGCTTTGGCAATCATTGTTTTACCACATCCAGGAGGTCCATGAAGTAAAACTCCTTTTATTAATACAAAATTGATAATTTAAATAGTAGCTATGTTCGTTTTAAAAATAAGTATACAATTTGTATAAGTGATACACTACTCCCACCATTTAATGTGTAGATGTCGAATCTACACGTAAGTGTAAAATCTATGTAAAAAACTGAACACTTTTTGTTAAATGAACAAAAGTAATAAAGGCAGTTGGTGAATGTTTAATATGTACTCAAATTAAAATAATATACCTTTTGGTGGTTTTGTTAATGTTGAATTTTTAAGCAGTTCTTTTCTTTGAACTGGAAAGATAACCATTTCTTTGATTTCATCAATAACCGTACTAAGTCCAGCAATATTATTCCACGAGACTGTTATATCATAAGGATTAACCAAGTGATTAGCAATCATAAGTTCATGATCAGTAAGCTGTATTTAATCATTAATTATTAATTTTGTTATATAAATGGATATAGGTACATATTACACTAGGTATCTTTACTTAACTTACATTTTTTACTTTTTCAAGGCCAAGACTTCTTAATTTTTGAAGAGCCTAATTTAGATTAACAAAAAATATATTTAGTAATAGTTATCTAAAAAATATTGTTAACTTACTACTTCCTTAGATTTCTTTTTTTGTTGGTTGGACGGATCAAGTTGACCAATCAACCATTTAGTGCCAAAATAGGCGCATGTTGAGAGCAAAGTCATACGAATAATTATCGAAATCATTTCATATCGGGTAATTTCCATTTTACTTGGATAGATATTCTGTTAATTTAAATAAATTAACTCAAATTTGTGCTTGGCTTTTAGTGTAAATAATAAATATTATTTTATTTATAGACAAAGAAAAAAATGAACATATAGGAAGGACGACAAAAAAAGAATTTCAATGCAACTATGTAATACTTTGAGCCCCATGCTATGGCTACTCGAATTTTGAAAATAAAAACTACCAAAATTACGAGTTAATGACCATATCAGTCCACATAACCTAGAAAGTAATTTGTGATAAAAAAATAATTGAGGTTATAGTTATCAGTCGTGAACATGATTATAGAACCATGACCGATTGTTGATTACAATTTATAGCAAAAGTTCAAAAAATGCCGGATTGATTCCTTGTATAATTGAAATATGTATTTTCTTAATGGTATGCGTTTAATTAACACAGCCATAAATCGACAAACTTTGAAGCAGTATTTATTTAGAAAGGTATTTCGTATATCTATTATCCTATACAAAATACATTTACACATCACACCTCGTAAGGACAGAATCATTCCTTAGTCCCTACACACTATAAACAGAATGCTCAGGCGACTAAATGAGTTTATTCTTCACCACATTTTCCAGGAATAATACTAATATTATTATACTGAATTGTTATTATTGTATTAGTTTTATCACATTGTTTATAATTAGATTGTTTACTACAAAAATTGAATTTGAAACATCACCTGCTTAAGCGTTATAAAATGTATATCAAGGTTTACCTTGTGTAGTTGTGTATAATGTTTAATAATTGTATTAAATCCACGATTTTAAATAATAACAAGATAATATTACCTTAAATCATGATATATTTATGTCTATGATAAAAACGTTTCAACTGATATCAGATTTGAAGGTAGTTCAAACTTTCAAACTACGACGTACGTAGTAGGCAGGTCAATTAAAATATTGTCAATGGGAATTTTCAAACTATAATTGACTTCCACACAAAAACAGAATAGATTAAATGGTACCAAACATAATAGTATTTACATCGTAGTGTCGTAGTAGTACTTAAACATTAGTAAAACTTGACATTAGGTGCACTCATCCGAATAATTATTAGTTTTCAAAATAATATTGTATTGGAATCAGTAAATAATCACATTGAATGTTAACAAGATTTTTTTACAACAGTAATATTATAATTTTTATGTTTGCAAATTTTGTAAGATTTTTTTTTTTATATTATTATCTATACGAACATACTTGTATAACTTAAAACATGTTTAGTGTGATCAGGCATCTCGCCATAAATGGGAAAATACAAATTTTTTAATGAGCGTCCCGCTATAATTTTAAACCTGGTCAGGAACTCGGAACATTAAAATGTACCGATTTTCATTAAACGTCTCACTTTTATAATTTTAAAGTTTTAGATTCCGAGGAGCGATAAATGTATTGGTTTTAGAAGTTTTTTTTATATGTGAACACTTTCTATTAGACAGCTTACCCTGATGTATACAATGTAGACTCTTTTCTGAAAGGAAATTGTCTAGGGAGACACTTGAAAGAGTTTATTTATTGATTATTCCAATTTTCTTAACAAATATGAAAAACCAAAAAAAAATCGGAGGAAATACGCAAAAGAACAAAAGTAGGTATTAGTTGAAAAAAAGGTTGTTTTTTTTTTTTCTGTGAATAACTTTTCTACCAGAAATTTTTTTCCGATTTACATTGATAACATGTTTTCTGAAAGTAAATCTATTTGAGAAAGTATTCTAAACAAATATTAAAGAAAATATATAGTGTATTATATAATTTAATTATATTACATATGACATATGTATTGTTCGCAAAGCATTTCTCATTAATCTAGGTAGATTTTTTTTATTACATATTACTACAATGAGTATGAAAATGTCCAATAATAATAATAATAAATAATAATAAATATTATCAGATTATATGAATTTATTACAAAAGAGGGCTTGGGAGGTTAGGCTCCCTATCATTGATACTTTCAGCCCTTTTATGAACGAAGTCATTAAATTGTAAATTTAGCTAACCTGTTTCTTATTTAAAAAAAAAAAAAAACATCTAGTCACATTAAACATGTTGATTAATTTCAATTATTAGAACACACCATAAAAATTGTAATCCATTATTAATAAAAATATTTTAAGATATGTTTAATAATTAATAAAAATAGCATTAACTTATAACTAGGGTCTGCATTCATATGCTCTATAAACCTTGGAAATATGTACTATAAAATATAGATTTATAATCTTATTTTGTAGAAACATACCCTTTAAAAACACATGCACAAAAAAATTGATTTTCAAAAAAAAAAACTACTTTTATTTCTATCTGGATTTTTAAATTAGGTACAAAAGATTAACATTTTTCAATATGCTTTAATTGCTTTTCAGCAATGCATAAGATATATTTTTTTTTTTTAAATATTGTTACAAAATATTACATAATATTATGTATTTAAAACTTATTTATATGTAATGAAAAATTGTAAAATACAGAAATATGCAGTATGTGTCAAAAAATAGTAAAATATGCATAATACAATTTTACATTTCAGTTCTATTGACTATAATTCAAACTTATAGCTTATTTAGCAACTTTTTGGACTGCCTAATAAAAACATGCAAATGCATATAAATCCAGGCCCTCCTTATAACACTTATAAGGTGTATGATAATTTATTCACACATTTAATTACACATTGTATAATTTAACATGCAAAGAACATGGTCATTTTATTATCGTATGTTAATTATTTTAAGCACTAAAAAGCACATATATGTTTAACCACGGCATAAACATGAATAGCTTGTCTATGGGTAATACTTATTAATTAAGTATCAAAGTTGCAACATTTAAAACTAAAAAGTACAAAACCCTTAAATTTAACTAGCCAGATTATTTTCAATATTATATATTTTAAATTGTTGAGTATTTTAGATCTTTGCTTATTCACTTTACTTGATACTTATTTAGTGTACCAATTTATACAAATCCAGAAACCAAAAAAGTATGCAGACTACAATTAATTTTAAGGTTCATATTTACTTTTCATTTAATTGTGTATCTATAATTATTTATTTTAAAAATAGATTTAATATTAGGAAATAAATGGAAGGATTCATTGATTTATCAACATATAAGAAATCTGAAAAAAAAAAATTGTGATTTGTTTTCAACTTAAGTTCATTTATTGACTTAAAAATAGTATAGACAAAAAATTATTTGACCACATAGGGTGGTGAGTGTTTGTGGTCAGATGTAGTCAAGATCAAACAAATTAATGTTTAGTCCATCTGAAAACATAAACAAAATAATATTAGACAAACCTATAAACAAAATGAGTAACAGCCACAAACTCACCTTCTTGAAACCTATATCATTTGCGTATTCCCGGAAACACTGACGGCACAAGTTGATGCCGTATTTCCTGATGAGACCGTGTCGGTTTGTACACGCTCTACTATAATCAAATGTTAAAAAAAATTTAAATCAATACTGTGTAGGTACATTAAATGCTGTGTTAAACATAGGTACACAATTAATCAATTAATTATAATAAAATGTATAATTGTATATTATATTAAAATATACATGTATGATACAAGTTACAAACCCTGGAAAGAACAAATCCTACTTATCCCACAAAATAACAATATTATATTATTAATAAAAATGAAAATTTGCCATTGTTAAATGGCAAGTTTCTACAGTCTCCAAAGAACTTCAGCCTTTTCTACTCCCCTATTTAACAAAAAAGCTGCTGTATCATGACACAACACTCAAAACCATAGGCATCATTACGGGATAGTAAAAGATAAAAACTGTTACTCCACCATTTTTATCGGTGTTGCAAATTAGTAGTTACGCAACCTTACAAATAATTTTCTGTTTTTTTTTTTTTTTTTCATAACATGAATACACCAATGTAATAATCATACTATCGGCTATATTGAATTTGGGAATACATAAAAATCAGTGAACTCATTATTTATATTTCTGAAATTTCAAATGACGCCTATACTGGAGACAAAATTATAGGTTACTTACCAGTAACGAGATCCTTGGCCATAGCGTCTAGGATGAGAGTACCATACATTAGCGAAACCCATTTTGTATCGTAATAAATCTATAGAATGATTTAAGTAAACCTGGACAAAAAGTCAAAAACAAAACACGTGTGGTAAAAGTGAATAAATTTCTGTCGACATCGAAGGCGAAAATTCGTATAATATGACGTTAGCAACGAAAAATGAAAAACGAACATGTATCGGGACATTGGTTCCCAAAATGTTATTTCGTCATCATTATTATCATTGTTTGATATCGACGCTATCACATACACGGTCTTGGAAGATAAGGTTGGACTACTTTCTACTCTCCCGCCCTAGAAGAATTAATAATTCACTTTGTTCCCGTCTAGTACCTATATTTCTGTTTAATGGAAAAATGTTTTTCATGTTCGTGCAAAGTGTATTAATGTACCTACAGTCGGTTTCACGAAACTAGTGACTCCACAGTAGCGCTTCTGGTGGCGAAATTTCGGTGTTCCGCGGTTTCTCAAACTTACACACAATACGCGACAATTTGGAATACTGCACGGTTTTTAAAAATATGAATAAAAATAATTATTTTATTTATTGTATAATATGTTTTATTATACATTATATTATTTATTATAATATACTAAAATATAAATTTTCTTTTGATATTTTAACATTAATATTTACAATAATTATAACACATTTTAATATTCTTACATTTATATTTATAATTGAAGTGATTCATCGTCGTCATTCTCGCTTTCGCTGCTGTTTTCCGGGTTAATTTTCAAAACTATTGGCTCTAAAATCTGGTCCCAGAATCTTTCTTTAATAAAGTCTTTATCTTGAAGATGTTCGCAATGATCAACCCAACGTTTCCAATTGTCTTCAGTAACGGATTCTATGGCAATATTTGCCAAGTTTTCAACGTTTGTGATTTTAAAACTGTTGTTTTTATTTGTAATTTCACCTTTAACTTGAGCCCATATTAATTCTATCGGGTTGTATTGACAATGATATAGGGGTAGCCGTATGACTTCATGCTCCATTTGCAAAGCAATTTCATCAACTTTATATCTTTTGTCTTTCGGTTTTAAAAGTTTTATCATGGAGTATCTATATTACTTATATGGTGGTTATAAAATGTTTGGCAGTGGAAGGTAAAATTCATATCAACAGAGCCAGCCGTTCGATGGTTGATTGCCGCGTCATTTTTAAATTACCGCGCTTTTTTAGTCACGTTTAGGAAACCCTCACGAAAATCTGCCACCGGAAGCACCACTATGGAGTCGCTAGTTTCGTGAAACGTACTACAGGTGTACCTTAGTTCGTGAGTTACCATAAGCGCTGTCGGGTAAACGTATTTTGAGGTTAGGAATCGAACAATCCGCCAAAAATGTATTTAAAATATTGAGAGTGGATTATTATATTAACTATAAATATTTTATTTATTTATGTTATATCGATTTATGTTAACAATCTATATTTCTAGTTTAATTTGATACAAAGATTATAAACTGTGTAGTTTTCTACTGTCTAGTATACCTACTAGTCTATGCTGTCTAGTGGCAAAAATAAAACTATTTTATAGATATCTATTCGTTTTATGATGTTTTTCTTATTTTAATTAGTTAGTTGTACTTCGGAAATTCAGAATAGAAAAAAAAATTGCCAAATTCTTAAAAATTTAAAATACCTAGGTATTTATAAAAATAAACCTTGTTAAAATACAAAAATACGTATACTTGTTTAAACATACTCCTTGGATAAATCTTTTAATAATTCACTTGAAAAAAATATCAAAAACTATTTAATTTGAACAATTTGAAATATGGGAATTGTGAATATCATCTAGGTAGATAGATATCTTTCACTGTTCCTACCACAAACTTCCCTTAAAGGGAGTAGGTATCGACTAATTTGTTATTACATTATGTAAATATTCTGACTTAGATTAGACCAGTAATATTAAGTTAATATTACTGGTTAACTGTGTGATGTAATATTATTTCTCTGATTTAAATTAATTAAATAAATAAAAAGATTCTAGAAAAAAAAAGGTATTTTCAAAGAAAGGACTATTTTAACAAACATTGACCTATCTGCAAATTGCGGCTGGCGTCAGTGGCGTAACTAGGACCATTTTTTGGAGGGTGATATGAATATTTGTCATTAGTTACTAAAAAAAAAACATTCAAGGGTATCTAACAAATTATAATTAATTATATTGTATTTATTACAATAATATTTCCAGTTTTCTTGGTTTTTTTGTCAGTTAATCATTAATTTCCTCTCAACATTTAATTTAATATATCTATTAATTGACATTGAAGACAATCCATGATTTAAGGTTTAAGTATAGCCTAAAACAAAAATATGAAATCTATTAATTAATCTTAATTAACAGTTGAACAATGAAATCTAAAAATTAAAACCAGATTAGTATTATTAGCGGAAAATAAGAAAAATTTTATTGAGTAAGCTGAAAAAGTATTAGATACGATCAAAAGAGTAGGTTTAGAAATAAATGCTGAAAAGACGGAATATATGATCGTGCGGAGAAGAGAGAACGGATCATGTACACCCATATCTAGAGGTTGGACCGTACAAGTTTAAGGGATTACAAGAGTTTAAATATCTGGGATCGATTTTAACACAAACAAATTATGAACTTATCGAGATAAAAATAAGACTCCAGTACGGTAATAAATGCTTCTACTGATTAAATTAGGTGTTAAAGGCAAGATTAATCTCTCATCTGTCCAGTGGGTAAGGTATGAGTGTTTCACACTAATACACAATGAAAAGCTAATCAAAACAAAATTTTGATCTTCGAAAGAAAGGTATTAAGAAGAATTTTCGAACTAAGTTTAGACGAAATCACGGAGGAATGGAGAATTCTCAAAAATAACTTAGACAATTGTATTAAAGGTTTGATATTATTCAGGAATCAAGGAAAAGGAAACTCCTACGGGCAGGACAGGCGTAGAGAAAAGAAGGAACGTTAGTTCGGTTGATTTAATGCGGTCCACTTAAAGGGAAAAGACCTTTGGGGCACCTTCGGGTGCAGCCATTGTTGAATGTAATTTAATGTTTATCTGTAAACAACGATAAACTATTGCTAACCCAATATATATTTTTTTTAATAATATTTATTTAATATTGTATCGATCTTCCCGTTTTTTCCTAGATTATCACATTTGTTAAGAAAACTCTTGGAAAAATCGAAAAGTGACCTCCTTAAGTACTTTCCCAGTCAGATTTACTTTCAGAAAAAGTGCTATCAATGAAAATCGGAGCGAAATTGCTGGTAACAAAGTTGTACACAGAAAAAAACGGCTATAATATTTTTTTACTAATACCTAGATTTCGTACATTTTCCGTTTTTCCAACATTTTATCCCGGTTTTTTCTAGTTATTATGAAAACCGATTGAAAAATCACAAAAATGACTTCCTTAAACCACGGAGATAAAATTTCCTTTTGGAAAATAAGCAATACTTGATATATGGAAGTAAGATAGAAAAGTTTGCATAGCAAATCAAGGGGTAATTTTTCGATTAAAATCGTCCTAGCAAGCGATAGCTAGGTTTCTAGGTAGACTTTGCATTTGTTTTTCCCTATTTAGGTAAAAGGGATGAAAAAGATTCAACAAATTTCTGTTTAAAACCCGGGGTTGAACCCGTGACTCCTAGTAAAATAATACGTACTAATGACTATTCGATTACAACAAACATATACTAAAATAAATAACATAACTATGTTATACAACATAAACATGTAATATCTGTATAATATCTGAACTTCAAAAAACTATAATTTCGAAACTTAGTCAGTTCGTTCAATTCTGACTTTACCATCCTTCTAGAATCGGCAATTCACATGTTCGAATAAAAGATTGAAAAAATTAGATTTGTTCCACATAATATTTTACTCAAACAATTTTCGTCAAAATTCCTTTACAAAAACAAATACTATATTAAACTCAATTACTTTTTTTACCACAATGTAAGAATTCTCCTGTTAAATAATGCATGGAACAGTCAAAATAATGCCCTGTGCGGATCATAGACATTTTCAATAGGTATTGGAAAAAGGAAAATGGATTATTTATACAATAAAAACATAATACAAAAAAAAAATTACACATTATAATACCTATTAGATAGACTGTGAAGTACTGATTGAAACATCCATTGCTTCTTTTTGATGTTTATAGTCAAGGGTTTTGAAGTTTTAGGATACAATTTTTTGCCTTCAAATAATTTACATTGTATTATAAATATATTGTCAAATATCAAATGTTCGGAATAAAATGTCCCTATTTATCATCATATGTCACACGTTTTTCAAAATTATTATTTGAAATGTGTAGTGTGAAATTGAGTTGGAACGTGTTGCATGTTATAAATATGATCACAAAATCGATTATAATTTGAAATTAAATGGGTAAATATGCAATTTAAAATTTGCAGCGTGTTAATGCGCGCAGTGCTGTATCGTGTGGTTTTCTGAGGACCTGAGGTTGTTATCAACGGAAATCAAGATGGTACCAATTATATATAGTTAGTAAAAATATTAATTAATAAAATATTGTTTGTACCTACTCATTTTGTGTCTAATATAAAAATAGAAATTTGTTTTATTAGTTTATATGTAAGTATACAAATTTAGATTTCTAATAAGACCTTAAAGTTTATAAAATTGTATAAAAATAAAGTAAGTCTGTTAGAAAATAAAAAAATAAATATAGATATATATGGGACCTTGCAAAATTCTGCACTGGGCTCCGTAATCTATTGCATTGGTACTGAATGTGTGGTGTATGACAGCATGTTACTACGTGACGTATGAATAGTGTGTCTTTTAACAGTTTTTGATTAAAATGATAAGATATTTATATCTAATGTCCTAGCTTATTATTGACAAGAGGTTCAATATAAGTCGTATTTGGTGGTCGAAAAAGAAAAATTGAGTGTAATGTAGTATTATTTTTATTTTTTTTTTAGATTCAGAGCATAGCGAACTAGGATACCCATAAATTGTTTGAAATATCATGTTTTACACTGATAAAAACCATACAGACTATAGTTGTAATTAAGAAATCAAATGTATACTCAATAATATATAAGATAATATTTTAAATTTACTAAAATTTTTATTTTTTCAATATCACAAATATAAAACATTCAATGTTTTAAAAATCAATTGTTTATATGTTAAATGAACACAAATAACTTTTTTTTGTTTGCCTGACAAAAAATTTAAATGTTGGTTTTTTCTGGGGCTACATAAAATTTAACATTTTTTCCAAAAATTAGTTAAAATTACCTTATACACAACCCCTTAAATAATTAATGTGCCAGGTCCTCTTAATTTCTTTGTTATATATAGTTTGTGTATACAAAAACTGTAAAACTAAAACTAGTCAGTAAAACTAAAAATCAAACAGATTTTATACATAGCACATTTAAATTTATAAATAATATAATATACTAAGCACTTTATAAATAACATAATAAATTAAGAAATAAAGATATTAATTTAAATTTAATAATTATTATGCTTATCTAAAGCATAATTTATATCTTCTGGACTAACATTGAGTGTTACTTTACGAAACATATCACATCGCTTTTTTTCTAAAAATATTAAGCCGCTATCACGTAAACGATATGCCATCTTAATTATCTCTTGATTATTTGGCAACTCTTCACCTATCAATATAATTATAATTTGTATATATAATAAATTTTAGAAATATGACATATATAATAAATCGAGCTGAAAAATTGAAATCCTACCTTCAAATAAACAAATGTGTTTCATTTGATTATAAATTGAATCAATTGTACCATGATCAAAACCGGTTCTAATTGTTTCATCTCTGAGTGCTTTTAGAAAGAATTGTTCTAAAAGAGTACAGTATCTAAAAATATAAAAAATATATTAGATGGTTGTTATTTAAACATTTTTTTTCTTTTATATGCACTAGAAAAACAAAAATGGAAAAAAATTTAAATCATAGTTTCTTCCTTTTCCTTCAATGTATCCAGTTAAAAAAGGATTATTGTTTAGCTTTTGACACAAAGGTATCAACAAAAGTAATC